CAAGTGCCCAGTCTAACATAACTTTAGTGTATTCCAAGACATTTGTACCTTTCAGAGTAAACCCGATTATTACAAGGTATTGTGCAGTCTTGATGACTAAGGGCTAGTGTAGGAGATTTTTTTGTATAAATGCATTCAAGTACATTGTAAGGGAGGGTAGAGGAGCTATATTTATCAAAGACGGTTTATGGCTTTTATACTTCTGGTTCAGCACCAAAGAAGGGCTTGGATTCTTAGGAGGGTTGAATACCCACTGAATTTTTTTTGCTAATTTGGCTATTCCTGGATGAGCAAGTCTTTTCAAAAACATGTCCCTTCTGCAAGGATGTGATTGTAAGCTGAATTCTTTCAAGAAAAAAAAATGTGGACAGTAATGAGTACCGGGAATTTTGTCTGATCCTTGGAAAGTCTAGGCTAGCCAACTGGCTGGGGTTTGCAGAATGATGCATGGAAAGTTGTGCAGATAGAAATAAAGACAGACCTCTTTGGAGCGATTCCTAACCTCACCTTTTCTTAAAGATAGTTTGCGTTGTTATTAACTGATTATTAATGTCACTGCCTGGCCTTCTTTAATGATATGTGCCATTAATCAGGGCTATTCAGCTCCAGTTCTGCACTTGTATCTTTGTTGGCGCTGGCTGGCTATAAATATTGTTGTATATCACCATATAAAGCTGTGTAAATCATCCTACCAGTCAGTCAACCATGAGAGCTGTTTGCTCTGAAATCTAGTACTCAATGCGGATTTCAAAGGGCAAGTGCAAGTTAAAGCAGGGTAAACAGAAAAATCTGCACCAAGAATAGCAGTGCGTTTCAGTGTTATTCTGCTTTCTAAGGAAAAGGATCCCCTGCAGGATCCAGAGCTCGTTCAGATCAGTTGCAGTTTTCCCATATAACTCTGTTGCCTTTAGATCACATCCCAAGAGATCTGTCGACTCCAGGTGATTGCATAGTCTCCCTCAAACTGGGGCTGGAAGTAAGCCATGCTCAAATCCATCATCAGTCCAAAGTGATTTCATTACCACCATATCCAGTCTCTCATCAGAGGCAGGAATATGATTAATCCAAATTGTGTTACTGATTAGCAAGTTGTATGTTTAAAGGAGAAATATTAGATTGAAAATGTGAAAGGGCTTCACTTGGGATTTAAACATCTGAGCATTATGCAGCTTGACAGGGAGGAGGTTGTACCTAGCACAGGCTGCTGGTGGCTGGTGAACGTGGGAGCGACTGTTGCGAAACTGAGCAGGGGCTTTGCTTTGGGACGGTAATAGTTGCGCTTAGACATATTGAAGGAACATTTGCTTTTCCCAGTCAGCTGTGGGCAAGCAGCGATCTGGTGGGGAAAAGGCAAAACTCATTTCTAATCGAATGGGGAGAGGTGGGAAGGATGTCGGTCTTGCTAGACCCCCGAGGGAAACAGAGGAAGAGAGAGAGATACACAACTCTGAACTCTCCCTCTGCCTTATTTTGTGCTATATCGCTGTGAATTTAGGGCAAGGTAACTGTGTTACACTGGCTCTGGGCCTCTGCATGCAATGTGAGCTCCTCCACTTCCAGATGTGTCCACGAATGTCCAAATGGCGAGGGAACGGGGAGCGCGGAGCGCGCCGTGAGTTCCTCCCCGGCTGCCGCGTGCTTGGATGCACTGCAGTGACCCTGGATAAGCTGCCGATAATTCACTGGAAGCCCTTCAGAGACCAGATTGGTTTGGGCTTGGGGTTTTTTCTTCTGTCTGCTTGTTTTTTACTTTGAGGGAGGTTTACTTTGTTTTTTACTGAAGTTATGGCTTGAGATTGGCAAGTTCAGAATTGTTTGGCAAATCCAATCTATTGCTTGCAAAGTTTGTGAAACGTCGAACTACAGAGGCTGAAACACCCAGAGTTGAAAGCAGGAAGCAAGTCATGGCAGAGTGAGTGACTCTGGTGTTAAGTAAAGTCACAACAAAGCCTGTTGCAGGCTGTCTGATAAGCTTTGGAGAGCACCTGACAAGTCACATTAATAGCAGCAGTTATTGTCTGACTACATTAATGCCTTGAATGAAAAGGGGCTATTATTTTGCCTGGCTGTCTTCACAAGATACAGGGTGTTTTGGTCACTGTTTCCTAGCTTGTGAAAGTTGCTGAGCTATTTTATTTTCATATTAATTTACAATGTTCCTTTTCTATGGAGAGATGATTTTATTTTGACAAAGTGCAGTAACACTCGAGAACTCCTAATATCTAATGTATAGAGAAGGTCATGAATTCATATCCACACCAGGGCGAATATTACAGTGTATATGCCAGAGATGGATGGCACTTCTGTTATGCTACACTGCTAAGGAAGACACTAAATCATAAGATGTACTTCTCACCTTGCTGAAGTTGTAAAATGGATATAACATTTCTTTCTATTGAAAGATCCAATTAGGGATAGGGAAGGGCAGGTCATATAAAGTTGGGCTTCCCAAAGCTAGAATTACCCCTCCAGGGGCCTAAAATGTAGCTTTTGAGACATGGAGAACAAACAGGTTTTGCAGTGAAAATCAATAAATACTTGGCTGTCCATCACTGTCTCTTTGCCTTGTTGTAATGAAGTTTCCTCTTTACACATGATTAAAAAAAGACATTGCATTGCCACTGCTGTTAATACAAGTTCTTGTGCTGTTCTTATCCTAGGTAGGCACACGGTGTAGAACTGGTTACACGGTCTGTGGGAAAACCCATGAAATTACGCTTGGGAAACATGCCGGGGGGTTGTATGTGTGTTTGTTGGTTTGTTTGCTTTCCTGTGCTCCTTCCTCTCCATTACCTTATCTTGCTGTATAATTTGACAGGCAAATCTTAGGCAGCAGCTACTTTCAAGGAGGCTGCCCTACAAATTGTAGTCGCTGTGGCTGGAGAAAGGTCTCTCGCAGGTGTGGCCTGGCCCCTTCAGCATAGGAAAGAACAGTCTGCCATCAGAGAGTCACTTCTAAATGAAGCTACTTTGCACCGGGGGAACTCAGCACTCCCTGAAGTCCTGAGAACTGGTAAATAGGAAAGCTGTATTTACTGCATTTGGAGGAAGTAGGGTGGGCTTAAGTGTAAAGGCCGATTAAGTGGGTAGAGGAGAGTGAAACAAAATGCTAGGGGCAAACACGCTCGTAGGAGGTGGAGAAGCTGGGATGCTTGAAAAGGGAGTGCTTTCCAGTAGGAGATGGGCTCTTGGTCAGGATTGACTATCATCCCAGCCAAAGCCTGGTCATTTTGACCAGTTTAACCACCATAGATCAGAAGGTCATTTTGAACAGTTTTTTTTAAGAAACACAACTATTTTCTATCCTTCCCCCCCCCCCCCCCCCATTTTTAATTACTTCCTTCTTTTGGCTTCTTTTTGTCTTTCTTTATGATCTTCCACTCTCTCTTCTCCCCTTGTCTACTGCTTTCACTGTATAGTTGGGATGCTTAATATTCAAAGAGCAGGAAGAAGATTTAGGAGCCGCTGGTCCTACTGGGTGGCTTTTTTATGAATACTGATATCAGATAAATCACCTGATTCATGTTTTGCACCTTACTTTCACCACCTGTGAAAGGGAGTTATGAATAATTATAAAACAGGTAGGACTTTTCTGCTGGAAAAGTGTTTTTATTTCCTTGTTTGCTATTCACTTGACTGATCTGTCCTGATGTTGAAGATAGTTAAGGAAGCATTTTAGTATTACTTGCTTTTGTGGGATACCTGATATTTAACATTAGTTTGAGGTGGTTGTGTGGCTTTGCTGAAAATATTTCAGAATAGCAAAGTTGATTTAGCGTAAGCGCAGTACTTACTGGGTAGCACGTCACCAATACCTTGGTTAAGTGGGGGAAAAGACCTCAAGCAGGTTCAAGCTAAGCAAGATTACGTCCATTTATTTTGATTTATTTCATACATATGGACTCTTTATTTCATTTTTGTTTTAGTTTGCAGAGTTTTCACCTTGTATTTAGCATTTGCAGATCTTTAACAGCATGTTCAGTTCCCCCCACCGCTCAGCCTGTTCCAACATTGAAAACACTGAAGTGACCTAAACATAAAATTGCTTACAAAAGCTTGGAAAGCAGAGATTTGAAATCTCTGATTTTATATTACCATCTTTATTTACTGAAACAAATGCGAACAAAAGGAAGCTACTGCCACAAGCAATCTGTGTCAGCAGTTGCAGTGCATGTCTTCATGGAGAGTTTATAAGCAAATTCTTCAAAATTGTTTCTGCATAGTTTGGGTTTTTTTTATTCTGCATTTGTATCCACACTTGATAGTATATAGAGAAAAATAACAGAATCTGTGAACATATAACATATTTACCTTCAGAGAATGAATTAAATGAATTTGGCTGTGGGCTTGGAATAAAAAGGAAGTGCACAGAGTACTGACCAGCGGGAAGGAGGACTGGCCTCTGGGAAAGAGAGTCAGGGTTTGTCTTTCGTATCTGGGCCAAGCATAGATCATTCAGCAGTGAATTATGTAATAGTTACCACATTAGTTGATTGGATAGTTAATAATTTTGACACAGAGAAATTAACAGAAGAAAATAAATGGTATTTCTAATAGCAGTTAAGGGAAGTAATTGTTCTAGCTAATGATTGAGTAATATGTCAAGCGATATCAACATCCAGAAGAAGGTAAACGCCAAACAAGTAAATGAAACAATGATACCTTTTAGAGTTGTAATATTTGTGAAATAAATGAGCCTGGTATTATGTAAGGACTCGTCTGCATGGAGAAATTCATCAATGTAACTATAGTGGTATAATTATACCTTTCAAAGCAACCTAAGCCGAATAAAGAAAAGGCACTCTGACGGCGGAACAGGACTCTGCACGTGGGGAGCTGTGCAGCTCCAACTCCAGCGGCATAATTACACTGGTGTGGTTGCAGCGGTTAACTGCTGCCGGAAGAGAAGCCCTCGGTAGCTGGGTGGCCTGTTGGCTGCGTGCGCCTGCCCCTGCTCCCTGCGGACCAGGCGGCGGCGTTTTGAGCGCGTCTGAGCCGGGATGCGGCCGGATCGCCTTCGCAGCGTGGCCGCTGCCCAGCGAAACGAGGACGGCAGCAGGGTAGCGCTCCGGGAGGGTGCAAAGCCGAAGGATGAGCCACGGTGGTGCTCGGGTACTAACGCGTCATGCGGCAAAGCGGCAGGCCTGCCTGCTAAATATCAGGCCAATGCGCTGCTTGGGAATACGCACAACGAGCCCCGTTGTTGCCATATTTTATGCTGGCATATTTTCTAATTGTAATGATATAATTTTTTAACATTCTTTAACTTGCCTGCTAGGAAGAAAAAGAGAGTCTGTTGTTCTTTACACCTTAATTAAGTTGACAAATAGTATCTTGGTGGCATTTGAATAAGAAGTTTAACAATGAACTCAAAGCTTTGTGTTTCCAAAGAGTCAGTAATTTTCCTGACTTGCGTTTTGATAAGCCCAATTTGAAGCACCATGAAGTGGGAAGGAATGAGGTAAAAAGAAAGATCTGTCACTCCTTTCATGGGCACCTCGCAGCCTTGCCTAGAATATCTAAAGCCACAGTCTCGTGAACACAGACCAACTCTTTAAATAGGAAAATTCATATCTCATGGGTGAAAAAGACTAAATTAACAGATCTGGAAGCGCGTTGCTCTCTGGGAAAAACAAATCCGTTTGCTGTCCTGAGGGTTTCCACTGATTCAGCCCGCAGCAGTGGGTCAAGACAAACAGCTACCACATGTGTGACAGCTTGGTCCTCCACTTTTGAAGAAGCACCAGCATAAACCACACTAACAATTAATGTGAACAGGTACACTTTCTGTGTATATGTCTATGTGTTTCTACATGTTTTCAACTTAACTTGAGAAATTTTGGCTAATCTTACTTGCTACAATCTGCAGTGAGTACCCGAGAACGCAACTGTAAAGTTTGCAGCTAGCATGCTTTTATATACGGTTTCAGTGTATGTAGTTGGGCAGAGCAGCATCCGACCTGTATGTGCAAAAGCACGTGTTTTGTCTCTGCATGTGCACATATTACAGTCTCAACTTAAAGGATCCCAAAGACAGTGTGGCCCATAGTATATTTTATAATTTTAACATATTTATGTACTATATGGCCTTTTTTATGACACTGTAAATGTATAAAGATTATAGTTGCTCGTGTACACTATACTTTACAAGAAGAAAATCAATTTTTCATTCCTCTGTGGCAGCTTGCAATACAACTGGAATATTACCTGAACCAAGTAAACAGAATTATCTTCCAACCTGCATAAGAAAAATGTAGCAGAAAGTCTTTATCTCTCTATTTTCAACTTTTATTATCTAAGTTGGACTGTGATTTAAAAGAAAGAAGAGAGGAGAAGATGAGCCGAACGCAGAATTGTTATAAGAGAAGCTAAAAGGAGCCCTGTGAAAGGCCTGTGAAAGGTTTGGAATGGAAATGATTTTCAGTTTAAATTACTTTTGCAGGACTGGAATGTGGCAGTCAGGAAGCTTCAGTGAAAAGTCCGTTCTTTTTTCTTTTTTCTTTTTTTCCTTTGTTGGTTTGTGTTCGTGTGAATTGCCTATGGGCCTATGGTCCAGCCTGATAAATGCCTATTTTAAGTGTTCTTTCCCTTGTAGTTGTTCCTGTAGTAGCTGAGCAGTTCACACACATTAAGGATTTCTCTTTTATAACTCCTCAGAAAACTCTGTATTATTATTATTATTGTTATCCTTGTATTAGAGCATAAGTTCCTCAAGGTCATTTCAAAGAACTGGGGATCAGATATCTGGCAAAGGCCATTCCCTTCCCTGTATGCTTATGATATTTATTTATTTGTAATGCATTACCTTGAAAACTCAGAAAAGGTAGCTAGAGTTCAGTATCATCATTATCTGATATACCTACAGAGAGCGACCCTTGGATGCCACCAAATCACTTTGCTAATTCCAGTATTCACTTAACACATCTTTGCAAGCATTGGAAACTACTAAATTCTCTGATAAGGGATGGGTTTTGTTTGAGTCTAGAAACACATGACATCATTATTTTGGGACCTGAACGTGAACACGGTCACAGCTGACACTGGGAGCCTGAAAGCAGTTGTCCTGCTGGGGAACTCAAGAAGGGGTTGGTGGCATCCACAACCCGCGAGGGTTATATTGTGCTTGTGCCACTAACATATTTCCCCCAAAGAACATGCTGAATTTTCTGAAGGGTGTTCACAGGCAGAAACATGAAGGTAGGTGAAAGCCTCCTATTAGTAGCCTTGGGTGCCATTTCCTGTCCCACAGGGGTACACCCGTGCATGAAAAATTTTTGATGTGTGATTAAAAAATATGCTGTAGTTGTATTTTTCAGCATTAGTGCCCTAGACTCGTATCCTGGCAAGCTGTAATCCAGTGTTGTTTTTCTAGTGAGATAACCAGTGTTTGTGTGTGAATTTTTCTAGCAAATATTAGCATGCAGCATAAGTGGTTGGAAAAGTTCAGGTTCTGGTCCTCAGCCTCCTCTCCCTATGTTGTCCTGGACATGGCACACCAGGGTTCTCATTTAAAATGAGGGTTTGGGGCATGAAAAATTCATGCCATCTTTTATAGTTACCAGTGTGTTGTGTCTAACTGCGTAAGAATATTTATTTATAACATTAAATCTCCCTTTGAACATTCAATAGTATATCGTACTGTTTCCTTCCTATCTCTAAATGCTTCTTAAAGGTGTTGTATCTTGTTTTAACCCTCGTAGCTTGTTTTCAAATGTTGGCTCTATCTCAGGGCTGGGTACAAAGAGAAGGGTGAAGAGAAGCTTGACCCAGCTCGTGGCAGAAGCTGGCATGTTCTGGCGGTTAGAAGAAAGAATTCAAATTCTTTTTTTTAAATGATATAAACCGCACTAGCGCCATAAAAATTAATGCGTATGTCAGTGGAGTGTTCTACTCAGGAGATTTTCTGTATCACCTCCATGTCTCACATTTTGGGGGAATATTCATCCCTTGCAGTAATGCAACGGGCCAATTATTAAGTGCTGCTTATGGAAACAACAAATGAACGTTCCCGCTGTGCTCAGATGACTTCTACAGGGAAGCTGTTGTGGTTTCTCTCCTTCTGTATGTGTAAATAGAAATATCTTTAATGTCTGTAGAAGTTACATTATGTAGTCTCTCTTACTTTACTCTTCCTTTATATAATCTAGTTACTTCATGAGCTTTTTCCTGCTTTAGGGAAGTCCACAGACTGTAATATTCCTAATAAAAATAAGAAAGTGTGGTTTGCATTTTTCATTATATTTTGGAAACAAAAGAAATGTCATGTTGACTCTCTATACATAAAATACAATAGGAGTTCTGTTGATTTCTAAGCAGAGTGATACGTGAAGTTTTACAAACAAGGCACACGACTGTAATGCATGGTGTTCAGCCTCTATCTTGGAAACTGCTCTGTGCGGTTAACCCTACACTAAGAAGTAACTAACACCCATTTTATGTATCCAAAATTGCATCTCTAAATGCACTGCAGTTTTTTCTTTTCTACTTCCACATTTGTCTTTAATTAAGGATTTTAGTACAGTTTCTTTTGCTAAGTTTATAGATGATGGTTTCACCTCCTGGAGCTTTTATTATTTTATGTTGCATCTTGGAAATATCTCTGGATTGAGGTGAAGCTGATAGTAGTTGTGTAAAAAAACAACTTTGTTGAACCTAAGGCTATTTCTCCCTAGAAATATTTTTAGATAATTTTCTTTATTCTAAACTCTTTAATATGTTTCTTGAGTCAGTAGAAGTTTATAGTGTGAACTTAGTAGTTGCCAGTGATCTTTCCTGGAAACTGAATAGCATCTGTTTTTTGGTAACACTGATCTTGTCTTGTTTTTTAAAGACACCATCTGCTTTCCAGTGCTCCAGAGGGGAATGTGGTGTCCAGTGGGACTTTTATCATATGTTTGCCTCCTTTTCTGAACATCTGAATATTTAGAGAGCACCTAAAGGCATAATTCTTCCTCCTGAACAACACCTTTCTTTCTACATTAAAATCACTTGGAAATATTTTTAACAAATTGAGGGTAGAGTTATAAAATATTTCTTATAAATGTTATAGTTCCATATTTAAAATAGGCATTGAGCATATACTCACAAAAGCCAAGATTGTCAGTATTGTCTCATTTTAAAGATAAATTAAATTAGGCAAACAACGGACCCATTCTCTGAGAAGGGAGATTCAAATTTGATCCCCTAAAAATGATTCACAAAAATGCTCTCAAAAAGGCGTGTTTATGCCTTTTGCTATCACCAATCACATTTACATTTTAAAAAGAGCACACAAAATCTAGCTTTATTCAACTGTGAATTATGTTGACCTGATTGAGCAACTTCTGTTCCTGTGAAATTCTTCACTTGCATGCTAATTGCAATGAAATGCCTTTTGTCAGGATCACTCATAGGGCTGGGGGTTCTGCTAGGATTTTATTTCCTTTAGGTCCAACTAGCATCCCAATCCCTTTCAGGCAATAGCAGTAAAGCGCTTACTTAGGTTTAAACATGTGCTTTAGTATTTTGTTGAATTAGAGATTTGGCAACCAGAGGAACTACTAATGCGAGTGAAATCACTTGGTGCTTGAGGGCTAGAAAGATCTCAACCGTAGACATAAAAGAAAAGTAAAATATACTTATTTCCCTTATCTGAGGTCCAATTCTGTGTTTGAAAACCAGTATATGAGGACTGTTTTACTTGTCACTTTTAAAAAAACTATTTATAGCCAAGTTGCATGAAGTCCTCTAGTACACTTACTGCTTTAATGCATTATTTTACTGTAGAAGAACTGAAGCAACAGCTAAAGTATCCAAGTGGATTGTTAGTGTGGCTATTTCCTTAACCAGGCTCACAAATTTACTAGTCCATTCTCACATTATTTTCCTTTGTTCTCCTCTAGTTCAACATGTGCCAGATGTCATTTACAGACTGGTTTGGTGTGTGTGTGAAAGATGCACAACATGAGGGACAGCCAGGCAAATGCACTAATGAGTGTAACTTTATTGATGAGCAGCAGCGTCGGGTGTTCAATGGCATCAGGATGCATTCCCTATGGATAATCACAGGAAATGCCACCCC